CTTAAAGTTTTATTGGCAATAAATTATTGCTAATAATAGTAATAAATTAGTATTATCAGTGTCAGTTATGAACAAATAATTAGTTTGCGAACCACTGATTAGTGTACTAGACGAGTTATTCATACAAAAACTATTTCCACGAGTTTTTACATTAAACTCACATAGTATTGCATCAGTTTGTCGCACATTCCCAGCGATTCCCTGCGAACCGGCAATAATTCCTAAGCGACACAATCGCTACAACTATCGAGCGCTGCGATTACAATGCATTTTCAATGCTATACGACTGGACGCATGCGTACAACGCGTCACGCAAACAGTCATTCAAGTCGTACGGAAAGCCATTGAAAAACCAAAACAACAAAACATTTTTCAAACAAAATTCTAATTAAATTAAGCGTTCATTTGGTTATCGTTTACATATCAACACGTGTTATATATATCATAAGCCTATCATCACTCACGAGTGTATTGCTTACCACCGATTGGCCATCAATTTCAGCTAAACAGTCATGTCGGACAACGATCTGCGAGACAACGTGTCGTCCAATGGATCCACAAACGGATCTAACGGTGACTACGAGTTCGTCAACGACTCGGACGTGTCGTCCAGTGGTAACGGTTCCAATGGATCCAATGGTGGCGGTAATGGGGGTCGATATGCCGGTGCGCCCATACAGGTGGTGACGGTGTCCGCGGACCGCAAGTTTGAGTTGGATTTGGAGGCCCTGTCAGCCATACTATTGCGGGACTCCATTAGAGACAAACCCGTGGTTGTGGTCAGCATTGCCGGCGACTTCCGCAAAGGTATGACCCCTTAAGATGTATGGCAACTCATTTGTGATCTCTTGTGGTCCACGAGTTTATGTTAGTGTATGCGACGGTTGGGTTTGTCTGTGTTTTTAGTGCATTATTTGCAAATGCAATGCAAATGTACTGTAAATGTACTCGTAATAGCCCCAAAGTCATATGATTTGTTGCTATTATTTGTGTGTTTATTGTGTTTTGAAGTTTTCATTTTGTTTATATTGTCTACGAGTAGGTATAGTCGAGTAAATTATAGTTGATTTTTGCTGCCAAACTGTTTATGATGTTTATGTTTGTTGTCTAATAGACAGAAAATCATATTTTAAATGCATTTGTAAATTTTGTTAATTAATAGCACACTAAATGTTATCTTTAAATATATTTATTTAAGGTTTTAACTAATTAATGACTTATTTTTTGTTGTAATACTTTTTATATAAACCAATTCATTGATCATTAGATTAGTGTATAATTTCCTGACGTTTTTGTGTGTGAATTGAGTTTTGGTTTGCATTTTCAGACAAAAATTATTATTATTTCCATTAATTGCTAACTAATTGTGGGTTTGACTTGAATTGAGATTTTTTGAGGAAAAATGTTTTTGTTATTAAAAATATCCCTTTTATTATAGAAATTAGTTTATATTTTAACATTTTTTTTGTTAAAATTTTAATACTTTTTTTTATTAATGATTAGATAAAGTTAGTTAAAAGTTTAGACATTATGTAATTCACTAAACCTTTGTATACTATCTGTGAGACTATATAAATCTTTGGTTATTAATACATATTAATTATAATTTTTATACACTATACGCATGTGTTGTTCACTGTATGATAGGCACAGACAATGAAGTGTTTATTGAATTTTTAGATTAGTTTAGAAAAGTTAGGAAAATAGTTTTTTAAATAATTTGTTTCAATAGACTATTAAGTAATTTACAGTCAATTGAATTTTTATGCATTCAATGGTATTAAACATTGAAAACGATATAATTATGTAATTATTTAATGAGTATTGCATTGAAGTCTTGTTTGTCGTTTTCAATGACTTTTAAGTTTTTTGTTAAATGTTTAGGAAATGATTATTTAGCTCTTTGTCAATAATTATCGTTTTGAGACTTTTTTGTGTATTTTTTTTGTTAGTTTTTGTATTGTGATATATTTTTCACAACTTATTTTTGGTGTTACTTTTTGCACTGAAAACTTGATGATGCGTTTGATTTATAATTTAATTATTTTATCTATCGATTGAAAACACTTCACAAAACAATTACTTGTTGTTAAGTATTTGATAAATACCGTGAACTCCCGATAACAGTGAAGCCCTTTGGTTTTACTTATTTAGTATTTTTAGTGCAAACTTAGACACACTTATGGGGTACAGTATTATGTTAAATGTACTATTGATTTTTAATTAAATTATGAAATTTTAGTATAGTTTATAATATAAACTTTATATAAATGTACACTATTTTCATTGTACATTGTAGTATATTTTTGCAACAAAGTGTGTGAATAGGACTGTAGTTATCACAAAACTTTGATATCTGGTGATTAATCTACGAATACATGTGTTGTTGTACTGTATTATATAAACACAAATAAGATGTATGTTTGTATAATTATACAGTATTTAATTCATAAAAAATTTAATTCAATGAATAGTATAAAAGTAAAACAAATGAATATAATTAACGCTAAACTAATTGTTTATTGATCTCTGATCCTAATCCCTACCGTTCCCTTCATAGGCAAGTCGTTTATGTTGAACTTCTTCCTGCGATACCTGCAGTCCGGGTGCGGAACTACATCTGATTGGTTAGGACCCACCGAAACGCCACTGAAAGGTTTCTCATGGAGGGGCGGTTCGGAACGGGACACGACAGGCATACTGATGTGGTCGGAGCCCTTCCTCATCCGACTGGACAACGGCCAAGAGGTGGCCATTGTGTTGATGGACACTCAGGGGGCCTTCGACTCCGAGTATACGGTCAGAGACTCCGCCACTGTCTTCGCCCTGTCGACGATGACCTCTTCCATACAGGGTTTGCCTACTTTTGACCGCTTTTCAGATTCATTGGATTAATTGTTTTTTGTGTGATTTTAGTGTTTAATTTGATGCATAACCTCCAGGAGGACAACCTCCAGGTGCTCGAGATATTCACCGAATACGGGCGACTGGCGCTCGAGGCCACCGACGAGAAACCCTTCCAAAAGCTGGTGTTTCTGATCAGGGACTGGAGTTTTCCGTATGAACACCCGTACGGTCTGACCGGTGGACAGGGATTGCTAGAGAAGAAGTTAGCCATTAAGGAGAACCAACCGACGCAACTGCAACGCGTGCGCCGGCACATCAGGTCCTGTTTCAGTGATATCAACTGCTTTCTGATGCCACACCCGGGCGGCAAAGTGGCCACTAATCCCCGGTTTGATGGCCGCGTGTCGGACATCGACAGCGAGTTTATCGATTACCTCAAGACGTTTGTACCGTTGATGTTAGACCCGAAGAATGTGGTGGTGAAGGAGATCGGCGGCCGACAGGTGACCGGCAAACAGCTGATGGAGTACTTCAAAGTCTACATCAATGTCTTCGCCGGTATGTTTGCCACCATTTTGTTGATAACTTTTGTTAATAATTGGTTTTGTATTGTGATTTGTGTGGACCGATAGGCGAGACAATGCCGGAGCCGAAGTCGATGTTAGAGGCGACCGCCGAGGCTAACAATCTGACGGCAGTGGCGGCCGTGAAGGACGGGTACGTGTCGTCGATGGAGGAGTTGTGCGGCGGAGAGAAGCCATTCATAAACCCGAAGACACTGGAGCTGAGACACAATGAGCTGAGACAGGAGGCCATGAATATGTTCGACAAAATACCCAAAATGGGGGGCAAAGAGTTCAGTGAGTCCTATAGGGAGCAGCTGGTCATGGAGTTGGACCAGGCGTTCGAGCACTTCGACGCCCAGAATAAGAGCAAAAATATGTTCAAGTAATTGATTGTTTGTGGTTTTGTTTACGCGTTTTACTAATTGATTGGTGCTTTTGATTGACAGTATATTTGGTACACCAATGGTGTTGTTGGTGGGATGTGTGGTACTGTTTATAGTGTCGCGATTCTGTGAGATACTGGGCCTCTCGCCCATCGCGAACCTGGCGTTCATCACCGGAACCCTAGACTTGGGACTATTGATAGCGTACCTGTTCTTCCGATATAGCGGTAACTATCCGGATGTCATCCAATTCATTGACTTCTACTCGGAGATCATATGGCGTTTCGTAAGTGTTTACTCAATGACCGCTAATTTCATTCACTCTAACGAATGCTAATTATAAGTGATTTGTAAAATGTGTGTTATTTTGTGGTTTCAATAGGTTATGGATTTCTTTTTCAAAATAATGCAGAGCGCTGTGGAAAATCGCATTCAGGGAACGGGAGGTAACAGAACGGCTACGAACACGACGAGCACGAGATCTTCGGGCCTGACGCCGACCACCAGTTTCTCGACGCATCCCCTGAGCTCTGAAAGCATAAGGCGTTCCCCGAGTAATAAGAAGTTGCGATAATTATTGTCTCAATAGTCTTAGTCTCGCTTATAATAGATATTATTTTTTGTTTCCTTTTTTAAATTATGATTACTTTTTTGGATAACTTTTTTGTTTTGTGCGATGAGTTGTCAGTCGAGTCCCAAATAATTCATATGTTTTTTGTACACAAAAAACACATTTAAATATATAATAATTATTATTATAAATATATGAACGATTATAACAATTTGAATTATAAAATATATGATTACTTTTAATTTTCACAAAACATTTGGTTTTGTATTTTAGTTTTTGGTTTCAAATATATTTTGTTTGTTTGAAATCTGTTATTATTTTACTAAATATTGGACACAAAATGTGTTTTTAATTCTTATTTCAAAATTATTTCTTTTTGTTTGAGTCTTGAGTTAGAAATTACTTTTTATTTGAAAAGTTTTTCACACAAAAATACCCGTTCCGTTCACATCATTATGATAGATAAGTAGCTGAGTACAGGTGCTTAACATGACATTCCCTTTATATGAATGATAATGATTTAATTTGAATAAATAGTTTGTATAACATTAAAAAGTCAAATATAAATTGGTTTTGAAGCCGATAATGTGTCCCAATTTGTATACATTGAATCAAAAACAATGTTTTTCCACAAAATATATTATGTATAGAAAGTTATTGTAAATTTAATTATAGTGATACAATGGTTATAATAAGACTTCAAATATTGAACTAGATATAATAAACTACCATTTAATAAACTTGTAATGGAAATAATAAGTCCCTAATATCATTAAAATATGTTTCATATGTTCAAAACCCATTTTTTGTTTGTTTTGAATTAATTTATTCGAAAATAATTGTTTTGTAAGAAATGCATAACTTGTTTGTTATATTTTGATTGTGAATATAATTATTTTTTATTTGAATTGTTATGAATTATGAAAACAAACAAAATTGTGGTTAATATTTAAAGTAATAGTACCTGTCGTGATTTTAACGGAATTTCTTATGGAAAAATATATTTATAGTCTGTTATAAACACTTCAATTGTAATATTATTTTATGAAAACTGTATTATAAATATGGATAACAATTAATTATTAAACACAATAAAACACGTTTTAAAAGCAATTGTTAAAATCATTAATAAATGTTTTTATGAAAAATATTTAATATAAAACATTTTGAGAGAGAGAGAGAGAGACTTAAAGGTTATAATAATTAATATTTATAACTTATTTCACTAGCTATTTCATTATAATAATAAGTAGTACAGTATTATACCGTACGGGTATTCAATAGTAATATTATAATTGGAAAAAATTACAAATTTATTTTATAGTAAAAACTAAAATATAATTAAAACTTTTTATGCCTAAAAATAGTGACAAATGTGGTCTAAAATACTGTGTTAATGATTAATGAGAATGTATTTATGTTTTATATTATGAATTGCGAATCTATTCTTATTTATTGATTTATAATTGCATTGAATATATAAAATGCTTGACATAAAAATATATTCAATATTAATAATAATAAAATATAAAAACTTTTTTATAAGTTATATGACAGTATATTTTGATTGCTATGGCAATAGAGTTAATGATTTTGTCTCACGATTTTAGTCGTAAGAATTTTTCTGTCAATAATTATTCCTTAAAATTATTTCAATCATTATTGCAGAATATATTCCTTATGAATAAATTATATTAAAAACTAATAAAATCAAAACCAATTTATTAAATAGATTGTTATGTACTTTTATTACTATATATAGCTTACTAGGAATAACTGGTAACTAATTGGTTGTACAGTAACTATAAAGCAATAAATATTTTACATATAAACAAATTCTCTATTTATTTTATAATTAATCATTATATGAAAATTATATAACTTAAAGGCATTGATTTATTATGAACTTTAAATATTGTAAACATTTTATAGTGTATTGAATATTCATATATTAATTGCCTTTATAGAGACCCAAACTATGATTGCACTCCAGAATGACAGGCAAATCAATAGAATATTCTGTATATTCCTGTTTATTATATGTGCGGTGAATATGTCATTAAATACATGTATATATCGTAACAAGACTTAAGACTTGATGGAAATGGTATACACTTCTGCGTACAAAAGTGAGACACTTAGGAGACTGAGCACACCCTACACTCAACACGACTGTCCCTTTGGTCTTGAAATGATGGGCTCGAATCGTCTTACGTATGAATTAAATAGAAATATGAAATCACATTTTTATTGCGAAAAGTAGTCATTATACTCATAAGTCATATTATATTTTGCTATATTATAATTAAGAATATTCTATATATTTTTGAGTGAATTTTAATGTTTAATATATTCTTTGTACGAAACTATTGATCCAATGATGAGTTGTTTACGTTATCCGGCATTTAATAAACTTATATTTTTATTACAACTTAATTGTGTGCTGAATATAACTTGGATTTAAAAATATATTTAAAAATGTTTTAAATCATATAAATTATGACAACAGAATTAAGTTTAAAAATTTTATTTAAATTACAAGTCCCCCATTAAATAACACAATTCTTATGAAAACTTATTGATCGCTACATCACGTGTGATATATTCAGAGAATAATAAATATAAATATTTTTTTGTAAAATTTAAATATATTTTTTGTTTTCAAATTATATTGAAAGTAGAAAACATAGATCTATATTTTATTTAAAATACTCATACTATAAATTAAATTATTATTACAGTATTATTAATTATTATTACTATTGCGAAAGAATTATTATATTTTGCTAACATATTATAAATACATAATGTATTCACAAACTTATTACGGCGATTGTTATTCAAAATTCAAGTGTCTAATAAAGTGTTAATTACTGATTATCGGTAAAAATATATTAATTCTTAATTATTAATTGCTAACTTAATTATGAGCGCATATAAACAACTTGATACTAAACGTATGAGTCAAGCCTCAAACGTATCGTTTTCAGCCTCAAAGGGCAGGGAGTCTGTGGTGCCTAACATTGATCCCGTGTTCACCACTGACCCCTCCGTGACCCGGCTCAACACCAAAAATTATTTAAATAGTATACCCAATGGTAATAGTGATGATAGTGTGGACGACATCAGTAATAGTTATAGTGAGACACAGATTGTGATTAAGGATTTTAGCGAAGACGACGAGAAGTTTGACAAAGATTTTCGTAAGTTTTTGCTAATTCTTTACTGAATTACAGAATTTGATTGCATTCTTAATGGAGAGCGCTTTTTGTTTAGTATATTCTTGTGTTTTAATATATGTATATATTCTATAAACTTTACAATATGCTGTATGTTATTAATAATATTTGTGAATATTATTTCACTAGGAATGTTATAATTAGGTTTATTTGTCAGATATTGATTTTAGGTGTTGTATACAATTAAGGTGAAAGTTAATTCTATTAATAGCATAAGTTGTATATTATTATTATTTTCTTATTCAATCAGTCTATGTTTACTTTCAATTGAACAATCATATTGTGTATACAAATCTTATACTTACTCCATCCTGATTATACAATTATTTATAAATAAAGTTTTACTAAATAAAATAAGCTATTATAGTAAATGTTATAACCTATACTTATTTAGAAATTAGAGAACATTAATGATATCTTATTTAAATTTTTAATAAGAAAAATTATTTTATTTGTATTTTATTTTATATTGTAAAGTTCAGAGTATATAGCAAGTTTAATAGATATTAATTTTTAGATAATTATATATTTTTACACCAATAGGAATTTGTAAATTATCTAAAAAATACTACTGTTAATGAAATAATGTATTTATAGTATATAAAAGCTATTATAAGTTCCAAGTAATTATTCCTAAATAAAATCAAATTTTAAAAATGGTATTACATAATAGTTATGTAACATTACTAAATTGACATAGGTGATAACCTTTTACATGATTCGCTATTATATCAACTGTTACTATAAACTTTATATATTATTTAATTTTTTTAGATTATTTATTTATTATAAGCATTAAGTTTTAATTGTTCATCATTATATCAACTATTAAATATAATTTAATCAAGTTATATTTTTGTTGCTTTGCATTCTTTGTATTTTTGTTTGAATAAGCAATTTGTATAACTTGCAAAATGAAAATTATTTTATTACCTATAATATTACTCGTAATAAGCCATAAATTTTAGATTACCGGTAACTAATTAAGCTCGGATATAAAGTGTATCATAATTTAATGGTTATTTAAAAATAGTTTATTTTCTGTAAAATAATGTCATTCATTTAGTCTAATTTAGACGTATGGTAATAGACAATAGTTATAATTAGCAATAGGTCTAATATTAACATTGCTAAAATAGTGAAAAGCGAATTGCTTTTTGATTTCATTAGTATTTCACAATTTTATGCATTTCATTATTATTGCATAATTATGAAATTTTATTTATTTATTATTATTTTTTATTATGATAAAACCATTATCCAAGACCCTGAGCCTATTACTATATTTACAGACTATTTTAAAAATAGTTTTACAGGAACACAATTTAATTTATAAGAATTATCTATATATTTATATGAATGATAAATAATGTCATTAGAGCTTGATATTTATGCGAAATATTACGGATCTACACTATTTTCAATATTTACTGAATAATCATTTTATTATAATAAATAATAATAATAATAATAATAATGTTTATTATAAGTATTTTAGAAATAAATTTAACTTAATTTTACTTTTTAAGTGAAAATCGATTATTAAGTACATTCACATTTATAGTGACTACTTAAATATATATTAAATTTGCTAATAAATATTAATTAAGCTAAAAGCTGTTGCGATCATGTACCATGGTGCTGAATTTTCTATTGCAATATATTCTGTTGATTCAAAATTAGTTTTATATACTGTATTTGCTGTCTTGTAAAGTATTATTACATATTATGTATCTTTTATTATTTTTATGTTATAACAAAAAA